TTTTATTTTAGGTTTTTGCCTTATAGCATGTGTTCTCATCAGAGAGAAGCAGGGAGAGGGAAATTGAGAAATCATCCTTCAGTGTAGATGGCCACAATGCCATACCTTCTCCTACATTCTCTTCCTGGAATTTTGGACACACATGCGCATGTGCTTGATGTGATTTTCAAACCTTTGGGTATGGGACTCAAACTACTGTTGGCTAAGTGGGAATCCTATGCCTTAACTAACACACCACCTGCTGGCCCTGATAATATTTTTTTGAGAGAGATTTGTGTGGTAGGGCACATGTGCTCACCAGAGATAGAGAAAGAGAGAGACAGAAAGAGAGAAATTACCCCCCACCTCCAGAGTAGATGGACATATTATAATCGCTTCTCCATTCTCCTGGGATTTGGGGCATGTGCACACACACACATGGCATGAGTTTCAAGTCACTGGGTCTAGGTCTCAAACCATAGTTATCCATATGGGAGTCCAGTGTCTTAACTACTGTGCCACCTGATGACCCCAGATAATTAATATTTTTAATCATTGCTTTTCATTTGCTACTACTAACTTAAATTTTACATATTTGTTTTCCTGAATCTATTTCCTGATATTTTTTTAAGTAAAAAAAAAAAACTCTCTAGATTTTGGTTCTTTACTAATTTTGTCCTAGGTACTTGCTTTCCTGTTAAATTTTGTGTATGTACGTGTGTGTGTATGTGTGTGTGTCCCTTCTATGGATAATATATGTGTTTTGTTTCATTAATAATTCATAACATACAATAAAATAAATTATCTTAAAGACACTGCAAGCTTGATTTAGTCCTGTCAGTTTAATGTTATGGTGTCTTTAATTATGTCTCTGTTAATTATATATGTTTGTTTGTTTATTTATTTATTTATTTTTAGAGAGAGATTTTTGCTATAGGGCACATGCACTCACCAGAGAGACAGCGGGACAGAAAGCAATAAATCACCCTCCAGGGATGGCCATACCATAATCCTTTCTCTTCCATTGTCATCTTGGGATTTTGGACATGCATGCACATGCACCTGGTGTGAGTTTTAAGCTACCAGGTTCAGGAGTTGAACTACATTTGACTACATGAGAGTCCAATGGCATAACTATTATGCCATCTGCTGCTCCCATATGTTTATGTTTTTGTAGATTTTTTTTTCTATTTAAGAGTATTTCTGAGACCTACAGAGTATAATTTAATATTGTTTAATCCATTAGAACTTTTAAATTAGATGCTCATGGTCACTATTCTTTTCAGATTATCACAGAATTTTTTATTTATTCCAAGAATCTGTCTACTCACATAGTTACACACAAATATGTGTTTTTCCTTTCAATATTTTAAGCATAATTTGTTGTTTGTTTTTAACCCTTTTGGTCAAGGAGGGACTAGCTTAAATATTATAGTAATAGATATCAGTAGAAGTTTTAGTAACTGTTTTTATTCAAATATGAGACACTGGATAGATTTTTTCCTTTTAATATTAAGTTCACATCATCTTCTTCTTCTGTTTTCATTAAATTGCAATATCATTGAATCTTTTCCCCTCACTTTATTTTTTAAAATAATAATAATAATAATTATTATTTAACTTATTTATTTTAATTTGACCACAAAGGGACAGAGAGAGAGAGAGAGAAAGCAAGGAAGCGAGAAAGCAAGAAAGCAGGTTGGCCATATGGGAGGTCCAGCACCCTTAATCACGCCACCTGCCGGCCCCCTCTCACTTTATTTTATCTTTGTAGATATTAGAACACAATTTTATATATGAAACCATGTACCCACAAAACATGGAGTGACTATACTTTTTATTAGAGATTGACAATGGATGTCCACAAGTTAGTGATGTAATGAATACTTGGGGGAGGGGGTGGATAACGAAATATGGACTGGCAGGATCTAGGAAGAGCTAGAAAACACCCGTTCCAACTATGGGAATTAAAACTGGACTTTTTTTTGTTTTTTAACAGATTTTTTGCTATAAGGCGTGTGTGCCTGCTGGAAAGACAGAGAGAGAGAGACGCACACACAAAGAAAGAAATCACACCCCCAAGAAATGGCCACAAGAGTCCCTTCTCCACTCTTTTCTCAGGATCTTGGTCACGCACGCACATGTGCCTGGCATGAGTTTCAGCCACCAAAACTGGTACTTGAACCTTGGTAACTACATGGGAGTCCAGCAACATAACAATTATGCCATCTACTGGTCCCCAAATTGAACATTAAGTGCCCTGCAAGTCCCTCAAAATAGAAGTGCATGTTGGAAAAGGCTCAGGGATAGTTTGTGATCTCTAGTTTATGCATTCAGATCATCATATGCCCACCCAAGATATTTAGTTTTTTTGTTTGTTTGGTTGGTTTTTGTTTGTTTGTTTGTGAGGTTTTTGCTATAGTGCGCATGAACTCACCAGAAAGACAGAGACAGAGAGCTAGAAACCGAGAAATCACCTCCCACCCCACCCCCAAAGGGGATGGCCATACTGCAATCCTTTCTCCTCCATTCTCCTCTCAGGATCTTGGGCACGCATACACGTGCCCAGTGTGCGTTTAAGCCATGGAGTCAAGGACTCAAACCACGGTCGACTACATGGGAGTGCAGCGACATAGCCATTATGCTAACTGCTAGTCCCCCAGAATATTTACTTTTATTATTTAAATTTTTTTTCATTCACTATACATCATTGCAGTATACAAAATGAGAGTTCTCATTCAGAATACACTGTATATTGGCTCAATCAAACACGTCAACGTACGTGTCATCGTCAACAAATAATTTTCCATTTCTCGTTTCCTGTATATTTTGCTTTTTATGGCCATCCTTGATTCCCTATCTCTGGCTCTCTGCAGTGTCCCACCCTCCTCCCACACTGTCTCTGGTATCCGTGGTTGCTTTCTATGCCTTCCCCCCCCCCATTTTATTGATTTGCTAATGAACTTAATTAATCTAAATATTTAAGATATTTAGTTTTAAGTCAGTTTTGTTTCTACTCTGTGGTATATTTTACCGAAAATGTCTTTTGTTTTTACTTTACAGAATTAAAAAATTTATTACCAGTCATATGGCCAAATTAGAAAAGTAATAATATCCTTTTCAAAACATTGTTTTTGAAGGATTATTGATATTCAAATATACTTAAGTCTTTTTTTGAAGTTATTATGTAGTATTCTTGTTAAAAAATTTATAAATATATGGGGCCAGCCGGTGGTGTTGTGGTTAAGGTGTTGGACTCACACCTGGATGACTGCAGTTCGAATACTGGACCTAGCAGCCTGAAAATCACACTGAATGTGTGTTTTTGCACATGTGCGTGTCCAAAGAGGAGAATAGAGGAAAAAGGATTACAACACGGCCACCCCTCCTGAGAGTGATTTCTCACTTTTCCTCTTTCTGTGTATCTCTCCGGCAAGCACATGCACCCTAGGGCAACAACCTGAAAAAAAATCTCTATATTAATACACACACACACACACACACACACACACACACACAGATGATAGATAGTTAGATAGATAGTTTGATAGATAGATGATAGATAGATTGATTGATGATTGATAAATACAGATAGATGTGGGGGAAGGGAGATGGGGAAACTCTTGGACCTTCCTTTTAATTTTACAGTACATATAAAACATCTCTAAAAAGTTAAGCTTATCAATTAAAAATAAAAAGAACTATAGTAGTTAGAAATTGTTATACAAAATAGAGTAGTTTGAATATTGTAGAATACTCATTGTTTGCATTTGTTTCTTTTTGTTAAACAAAAATTTTCCCTTAAATCCTAAATGAAAATGCAATAATAGAAACATTGGCAAAATCTACTTTTATTATTGTTTAGCCTAAACATCTTGAACCTCTTGGCTCCTTTTCACATCTGCTACATTGCTTGGAAAAAAAAAAAAAAAAAAACTTCTGTAAGTTTTCAAAGCTCCAAGTAACCTATTTAAAGCAGTTTAGTAGCAACAGTGCTCATCTTTCCCAGGGTTTAGATTTACAGTTCCACACTTGATTGTGATAACTAAAACTCCACTTATGTCAGATTGCTATTTAATATATGGAAGGTTTAAAAAATACATGAATTTCAACTGGGCTAAAGATTTGTTTACACTATTACAGCTTTGTCATTAAACTAAATGAGGTATTAAAGTCTTAAAACCACAGTTATAATAAGATAGAGAACTCAACCATAACTGTATGACTAAAGAAAATACTAATTGATGATGCCCTCTTTTCAATTGTCCGAAATAGACTTGTTTCGTGTGGTGTTTTTAATTGAGTTCTACAGTTCTTTGTTTTTCCTTCTGTTTTTAATGGATGTAGGGTTCTTTAACTTGTAGAACTTTCTACTTTATTAAACATGTGTTTTGGGGTAATTGGGTTTTTCTTTTTTCACCTCCACAAACAGCTGTCTAGTAAACGTAATATTCCTTACCATGTTGTTAATTTTAAAAGTCTTCTTTGTCTTTTACCTTTTATTTTAAATTCTTTCTCTTTGAAATGGTAGCATCAGGAAATATTTTAAGTAGACAATCATTAAGGCTATATTTTTTTTTACTGATAATTTTTAAAAAAAAATTTCTAGGAGGAGGAGAAGATTATATAACTGTGGTTGTAGTACATAAGAAATCTGATGGAATAAACATTAGTAAGGTTTTCTGTTTCTCTTAGCACTATCATTTTCTAATCACATTTGGTTGCTGGAGACATAGCACTGAACAAGACGGTGTTGTCCTTGGCGTCCAGCTAACACATTCTTCCCTTCAATTTTTTTCTTTCAGTTTTTCTTGGGTTTTAAGTAATATTGTGGCTAAAGCACCTAATAATTTTCTTTTTAGAATGAGCACTCTTAAACAAACTAGATAGTTATTAGTGGTTTTCTGATACATGTTTCTTGAGTATCAAATATTGACTGAGATTTGTGATCTTAGTAGTATTCATGAAAGACATATAACAATGAAAGAAAACACTACTTATATTATACAAAATATGTATTTCTCTCATATTTTAGCTGGGAAGTTTTAAGATTCCTTCTGTCAAACATAAGATGGTGGTTGGAAGAATATGGCTTTGATGGATTTCGTTTTGATGGTGTTACATCTATGCTCTACCATCACCATGGAATGGGTAAATAACCTGATTTTCTATCCATGTGAATAATGATTTTATTTCAGTTTTACTAGAAAATTCAAACCAGATAAAAGGTTCAGTTATAGAAGCTTTTATAACTGTTTTTTTTTTTTTGTATTATTATAATTCTATTGAGTGTCTTTCTCTAGTCACTTCTGATACCTGTTTGGCAAGAGGTGAAGTAGAAATATATTTTATAAGTGAATGACACTGAAGAAAATATGTATATTTTAAATATGGATTTACTCAGTTTTAAAAAAATTATAAATGAATTTATAAATGAAAAATATTGATCAGACCTGGAGTTTAAAAGTTTTGCAAAGAAGTAGGATGTCAAAGTCCTAATCTCTCAATAGATAACATGGAAAAAATCTTTTTTTTAATGGCCAAATACTTAGCAGTGACAACCATTTAAAGAATAGAAGTGCTAGATTGTAAATGGTGAATATCAGCTTCCCAGAAAAATACTAATGATTCAAAGTGTGCTACTACTTACTCTTAATCATGGTAATACCCCAATGCAGTGTTTTAGGAAAGAAGGTCAATCTGTAAAACACAACAGGGTTCACTGATACCCACCTGTGAGTTTGGATAAAAGCTGACTTAGGGGATTCAAAGGCAAGCATGGCAAAAGTTAAGAAAGAGCCTTTCCTGGATTAAGTCACCTACATGCCCTTCAGAAACTCCCTCTGGTGAGGGCAGAATATTTTTCAGGGAAAATTAAGAAAATGAACCTAGTGAATGGATACAGAATATGCTTTTTATGAATAATATCAAATCATAGAATGTTTGCTTGGTGAATGTAGTGATAAAAAGAAACTCATCTGCAGATACCTAGAAAGAAAAGCAATTTACCTGAATAGATTAAAAATAAATAAATAAATGGCTAAACTCATACTATTCCATTACCAGTAGCCAAGTTTGTCTACAAAATTGTTTGGAAACAGTCTGACTTGAGAATTTTATAGTTGAATAATAGTTGCCAGGGGCTGATGGGTAAAGGAATTGAAGTGAATTTGATAAAAAAAAATTCAATATTTTACTTATTCATTGAATAAGTTCTGGATAGCACATGTGTAGCATAGTAACTGTTATTAGTAATATTGTGTTATCTATGAAGTTTGATGAGAGGAGATTTTAAGTGGCTTCATGCCCCCTCCCTGCTTACATACACACTCACTCAATAGTAACTGTGGTGATGAAGAGTGTTAATATAACTGTGGTAATATATCAGTATGCTGTGATATAAATAATAGTCTTCTTCACCTTGTATACATACAGATTTTTGTTGGTTAAGCATTTTAAATAAATGAAAATGACATCAAGAGGAAAGTTTGGTAGTTGAATTGCTATTGAGATATAAACACTAAAGATCCTAAGAAATGAAATGTTCATAAGCATACTTGAAAATATAGAATCCTTTACTGATAGAATCCAAAAGAATCACAAAAAACTTAGATATATGGAAGCAGGAAAGAAAAGCCCAGTATTGAACACTAATGTCAATCAATTACAAAAATAAAAGTAATTAACTGAAAGAATAGAAATTAAGTGAGATAACCTCAATGAGTGAAATATATTATAAGCAACCAAAATTAGGACATGGGAGTAAAGGAGATAGGAGTTTGAGGATGTCATAATGTCTTTGTCATCATATGAAATGTGGATGGCATAAATTAAAGCACATTTTAGAATAATATAAATGTTCTTCCTCAGTGTTATGATAGTTTTTATATTTACTTTTCAGTACTTGGGAGAGGTCTAATAGAAGCTAACATTAATATCTATTTTTTTTTCTTTTTTGAGAGGTTTTCGCTATGCCCTCACCAGACCAACAGAGAGAGACAGAGAGACAGAAAGCGAGAAATCACCCCTCAGTGGGGATGGTCACGCCACAATCCCTTCTCCTCCATTCTCCTCTCGGGATCTTGGGCACACACACACATGCCCGGCATGAGTTCTAAGCCACTGGGTCTGGGACATGAACCGCGGTCGACTACGTGGGAGTCCAGCAACATAGCCATTATGCTAACTGCTGGTTCCCATCATTAATATCTTGATGTGACAGAAAAATCTATTAAAATTTTGAAATTTAGAATCCTCTTTAATATCATTCATTTTGCTTCATTTTTCTTCTATAAAGTTAGCTGGAATTAAACCTTTACATTAAATATTTTTCTTGATTTTTAAAGAAAGTTTTTGGTTAAACAAATATTAATGTGTAGTATTGTCTGAATTGGGGGTGATGTGGAGTACTTCTTTAAATTAGATAGTAGATTTGCCGATGGTAACATTATCATTACATTTTACTCTAATAACAAAATTTGTACCAACAAACCATTGCATAGGCACATTGTGCAGAGTTAAGACTTGCATGATAACAATAATATATTCATGTTGATTTTCTGTTCTTTAGGTCAGGGTTTTTCAGGTGACTACAATGAGTATTTTGGTCTACATGTAGATGAAGATGCCTTGATTTATCTCATGTTGGCAAATCATTTGATTCACACGTTGTATCCAGAGTCTATCACAATAGCTGAGGTAAAGCCATATGATCTCTTACCCTCTAACCCCCTTAATGTAGTGCATTTTGTCAGCCTACAATATGTGAATAATTAACCTCATGTTGTCAATAACTGCGTAAATGAAATAGTACCCTGACTATAGGGCAGCTATCTTGTATGGGTGGCACATTATTTGGAATTCACTGTTTTCCTATTAGGAAGTAATGTACACTAATTACTTGTCACCCTTCCATTGTTAAAATGCCAGTAGTTAGAAAGTAAAATATCCTAATCAGTGGACAGTCCTTCTGCCATGAGACCTTTAGCAGAGAAAAGAACTGAATATTAATGTGTGTCTGTTTATTCATTTTTTTCTTTCCTGGTTTAATTATTATAGATGGCATGGATCGCTGCTTGTGAGCTTCTCTGAAGCCTTCCTTGTTCTGATGCGATTACCTTTCTTGTTTACGTTATTCCTCTCAGATTGCCAAATGTTCACTAGTTATTCATGATTACTGGAGGTTCATGATTAACTGTCCCAAAGCTGCACTGTAATGATATAATTCGGTATATGCATAATTGACAATTCCCCTCTTGGTGATAAATGTAATAAATTAAGAAGTTTGTTAAATGCTTATGCTAATTTAGATTTAGTACTAAAATCCCCCTGGTTTTCTGAGTCCTCTAACTAGGAATTATTATTAAAATTGAATTTAGCATGTTAAAACTGTTCTACACAAAATGTAGTGGTTGGCATTTCGAAATAGTAAGACCATGGCTAAATGAGTCAGGATTAAGGTGTGCTTTCACATTTCTCTTGTTTAGTTCATTGAATTCAAATGCAGTAATACATCTCCTTCCTGTCATATTTATTGTTTATATGGTCTCTTTTTTTTTTTTTTCCTATCACTTACCAGAACTCTCCAACTAGATGGTATGGCTTCATTGTCTATGGAAAGAGACTAGATTTACTCCCTTCAGGCCTTTTATCATCTAAATGAACTGTAGAAATAGAGAAGTGGACCTAAATTCCTGAAATAAGCTCTCAAGTAGAAATAAAAGGCAAAAAAGCAAGAAACTATTATACAGTTTAGCTTTTAAGGATCATTTTACATTCTCTACCCACCTACATTTGATCATAGCACGAGTCATGCTAGTTCTTATGCTAATATTTTATGTGCTGAATGTCTTTTAACATCAGAGTACATTTTAAACTTTTAGTTTTTCTTTTATATATTTTAATTTTTATGTCGAACATCAAAAAATTAATTATTTTGTCAATTATATTTATGGCAAGCCAAAGCTAAGATAGTGACATAATTTGTATGAAAAATTACTACAAACAATTAAGGGCAGCATAAATCAGAAGTGGGTACTGAAGAAAAAGAAGCAATTACTTAATACATGAAACTTAAAATTGTTACATTGATCTTCCTGTTCATTTCAAGTAAAGCAGTTTCATCATCTAGGGAGCTCTTGTCTGATGATCACTATTTCTGCCAATGAAACTTTGAGACTTCAGCCTACTTTATATTACTTGGTTTTAGATTTTTTTAGAAACAAGATGTGTCTTCAATTTATTCTACTTAAATGGAAAACTACTTCGATTTCAATACATCACTTTTCTGTCTTGTGGGAGTCTCATCAAAATGTGGAATTGATCCTCAGGAACTTTTTTTGTAAGAAAAGGAATGTGTCATAATGAATAAGTAATGTAATTTTATATAAAATTGTATAGTAGCAATATGACTTTCTTTATAATGACAACTATGAAATTTTAAAACTTTGTTTTCTAGGATATGCACACCATTCTACATGGTTGTGTTTACTATATTATTTAAAAACATTTTTGATTTAGATTTTTCTCTTCTGCAATAGTCGAAAGTACTGTGAATATTAAAGAATTAGAACTATTTTAATTTAATTCAAAATACATAACTATTTTTACATGCTGGTTACAAACATCAACTTTATGATATTTGGACTTTATTTTTATGGTCTTTACATCTTTCTTTTTTCTTTTAAAATCTTAAAAGAATAATCACTAACTCTGAACTTTAAAAAGAAGGCTACAAGTACCTCATAATATGTATTTATAGGTTTCAGCTTTCTAGGTTTCAGATTTAGGAGTAAAGATCAGTTAATGTACATTTTTCTTTATTATATTATTTTTTCTGAAACAATATTTACACCAGATATAGAACACATTTTAATATTTCCTTAAGACAGATTATCTGGATCTTTAATACCAGCCTATCACAAGTCATTCCTGACTGTTTATTTTATGAAAATTCTTTTAGGAAGGAATTGTGTCTATAACTCTAGTGCCTCCTGTGGTACTGATTGTTTAATACAGAATCAGCTGATGTTTATAATGAATTCAGTGGCATATCTATAATATCTGTTAAAATGTGATTTATATTTTGATAACTATAACTTTTTAAATGTTTTTTGTTGTTGTTGTTGGCCATTCATCTATTTTTCACTTATGAACTTGTGGTGTGACTATGCTCCATTGGAAGGCACTTTCTCTTTCTCCCTCTCTGTCTCTGTCTCAACATTTCTTTCTGGGAGTGGAAAATAAAAAAAAAAAATGTTATTAACAATATATTGATATTTTCTCATGGATCCATCCCACCATATATTATATTTACTTATACACTTCTTCCATTAGAAAACAACAGATTAATTTGAGAGTCAAAGAGGTCATGTGCTTCTTTTTTTCCAGCGTTTCTTTAGGACAAGTTTGAGGATGGTATTGCAGAAGCAGCAGCCTTGGAGCTAAGTCTCAGAAAGGTCATGGTGTGTTACAGTCTTCTGTAGGAAATAAGGGTAAAATTCTAAGGAAGAGTTTGAGCATTTAGAAAGGCTGTGACAAGAGAAAATATTTCTAAGTGGCCAAAGTATTTAATACTTGAAATAATATAATAGGAAATAATGGTGGAAAGATGTAAGTTCATTTCACTTTTTATATACTTGAAATAAGTACCACAATTCCATCACATGGTCATTTAATGACAGTAAGTTTGTAAAAGTCAGATATTATGTCTTATTTATCTTTAAATCTCTCTGAGAATTTCCTGTCATTCACTTAGCAAGTATTAGATACCTGCTTTTTGCAAAGTACTATTCTACTCCTCTGGATTCTTGGAATATATTAGTGAGCAACAACAACAAATCCCTAAACACATAATTTTACACTCTAATAGACTGAAGAAGTAGATAATTGAATAGTAGGTTATATAGAAAGTGCTTAATATGTGTTTGTTGAATCTAGTCTTAAGCTAAGGAATTTGTTTTCCATTGTTGGCTTTTAGAAGACATTGAAGAGCAGTGATAGGAGCAGACTGTTTCATCAGGTGTTTATTTGGCAGCAGTTAGAATGAAAAGAAATGAGATGGATAATTCCATTTGGAAATATAATGGTGTAGGCGAGCAGTAATGAAGATTCAATAAGATGGTGACTGTAGAAACAGAGCAAAGCAAAAAATTTATTTGAAAAGTACTGCAGATAGTACTGGGACCAGTAGATAGCATAGTGGTTACATCACTGGATTCCTACATGACCTACCACAGTTCAAGTCCCAGACCTAGTGACTTGAAAATCACACTGGGTGTATGTGTGTGGGTGCCCAAGATCCTGTGAGGAGAAAGGAGCAGAAGGGATTGTGGTGTGGCCATTCCACCCAGGGCTGATTTCTCACTTTCCCTCTCAGTGCCTTTGTCTCTTTCTCTCTGGCAGGTGCATGCACAATAAGGCAAAAATGTACTCAAAAAAAATGATAGTATTTAGCTTATATTTGGCTTTTTTTAATCTTTTGTTACATCTGGGTTAGTATACCTTTTTTTTTTTTTCTTTTGCTATAGGGCTTGTGCACTCACCAGAAAGACAGAGACAGAGAGACAGAAAGTGAGAACCCACCCCCCAGGGTGATGACCACACCGCAATCCCTTCTCCTTCATTGTCCTCTCAGGATCTCGGACACACACACACACACACACGCACGCACCCAGCGTGAGTTTAAGCCACCATGTCTGGGACTCAAACTGTGGTCGACTACATGGTAGTCCAGCGACATAGCCATTACGCTAACTGATGGTCCCAAATATACCCATGTTTAAAATTGTTTGATTGGGGCCAGCATGTGGCATGGTAGTTAAGGGCACTGGACTCCCACACGGCAGAACCTGGTTCAAGTCTCAGACCTGGTAGCTTGAAAATCAATCACTCTGGGTAGGTGTCATGCATGCCCAAAATTCTAAGAAGAGAATGGAGGAGAAGGGATTGTGGCATGGCCATCATCCTAGGGGTGTGATTTCTTAATTTCCCTCTCTCTGGCTCTCTCTGTTTCTCTACAGCAAGCATGCATGCCCTATGGCAAAAACACAAAAAATATTTGATTAATCGGTTATTCATTTAATGATAAATAATGTTATGGTGTCTACCTGGAGTGATACAAGTAACAGGGTACTGCTACAAAATACTGGAGCCATATGAGAAGGTCCTGGCTTTGGTTCCCAGGTTGACTTTAACACACTAAGCATATCTATAGGAACACTTGCAATCCTGGCTGACTGGATGCAAGGAGATGGCATGACAAGACCCTCTAAAGAGTCTGTCAGTCTGTGTCTCAAATAAATAAATAAATACTAATATAGTTATGGCATAACAGAGTAGAAAGATATGCTGCCAATGAGCTTGCTGAGTCTTCTCACTTCCATTGAGAAATTTATGCTTTTAGAGCTCCTTTTACCTCACTAAGTCTCTGTTATGCATGCTAAATGAAGAGGAGCAACTAATCTGAAAGACTCCTTCCAAGTGTAACATACTATAGTGAAAGCTACCTTATTTCTTCACTCTGAATTAATATATTAACTTACTTTTACATTTCAGCAGAAGCTAGAACTTGCAAAAATACACTCTATATCAGTGTAATATATCGAGAGAACAAGTAGAGCATATATATGCCTCATTTTTTTGTTTTTGAAGAAAACAATATGTAATAAAATAATTTGACAGTAATTCAAAGTTAAGTCTAAAATATATGTTTTAACAAGAACCATTTCACTATTTTGTGTTCTCTCGGTGATGCTAAGGAAAAGAGAAAACTAGCCTCATGAGATCAGAATTGTCCTGGAGTGAAAACATTGAACAAAAATCTTTTTTGCAAAATAAATTTTATCTACTTATCATAATTTTATCTACTTTCACAACTATGTCACCAAAATATGTGCCTCAACTTAATGTTTTTATTCACTGACTTGAACTTTACTGTCAGAAGAATACTTACTAAAAGTTTCAGCAATATGTACTAGTAATATCATGTACTTGTTTCAGGATGTATCAGGAATGCCAGCCCTGTGTTCACCAATATCCCAGGGAGGGGGTGGTTTTGACTACAGATTAGCCATGGCAATTCCAGATAAATGGATCCAGGTAAGATTCTATTTAAATACTTTTGTTTTTGTGGATACTACATTAGTTTATTTATTTGTCTATTTATTTCATATTTGTAATCACTAATTAGAGATATTATAATTGAAGTATTAAATTTTCCTATTTGAAACTTTGAGACTGTGCCAATTCTTGTGCATTTGAATAAGATGTTTCTTAAAATTTTTAAAGTTCTAAATTAATATATTCACATTTATATTATTCATGCAAGGAGAAAATATGATTAATATAATGTTAGCTGTATAAATGGAATTTTGCATTATCAATGCAATTGTATGAAACTTAGTGCTCTATACTTAAAGCACATTAAACTTCATCAAAGCATTCATTTCTTCCTACAAATCATCCATTAATGTAGAAATTACTCCTTAATTCCCAATACTTGATTCCTAGTGAGTCTTTCTTTAACAAATTTGGATTCATCCATTCCTTCATTTAGCATTTAAGAGCCTTACCATATGTCAGGCACTAGGAATGGATAATAGTACAAGGCACTTTGCACATCATTACTTAATACTATTTTATTAATTTTAATGACAGTTTAAGTAGTTTGAATTTTTTTACATTTAACATTTGACTAAAGAATGAAAGTCATCTTAGACTTAAGTTTGATATTAATCACATTTTTGAATGACCACATCTATGTCACAGACTGATGAAGATGTGTAAGGAGTCAGATATGAACACAAATAATCATAGCTTTCTGATGAGCCCTTTACTGCACATATGAATGGTCCCTTGAGCACACAATGGTAGAAGTTCTTCACTTTGTACAGTAAAACCAGAGAGTCTACTAAGGAAGTGGTTATTATAATCATCTTTGAACTGTCTGTCCTGTATCCCCAGGCCGTTTGCACAGTGTACAGCTATGATATTAAACCTTTACCAACATGACTTCTCCTCCTCCATTTTTAATGATTCTCAAACACTATCACTTCCAAAAACAAGTATCTTACAGAGATGACTAGCAATGAAATAAACAAGCAAATGAGTATTCTAGTTTTAATTCCAGGGAAGAAGATAGCCTTATATTCGCCACTTTAAAAAATGTTACAGTCTTGGTAATGTAAAAAGATGTTACAGTCTTCAAGTTTCTCACCTTGGTTTAAGATTCTTTATTTGTTCCATCTCATACTATATCTCATGTGTCATACAAACTTGTCCCCTCGCAAGTGCCAGATCTTAACTATTTAACCTCTTGCTGAAGAACCTTAACCAATTTTTTTCTGTGTAAGTTCAAGAGTATTTCAATCTAGAATTATCTTTCCAGTCATAGCTCACAGTAGGATATAACCTTCTCTGAATTTTGATGATAAATCTTTTTAAAAAAAAAAAAAAAAAAAAAAAACAACTTTAAATTTAACCTGATAAACATCTTAGTACCTTGTATGCTCAGAGTGCTGTACTAGGCAGCACATCAAACAAATGGGAAAAATGTATTCTCCCATGTTTAGGAAACAACCACTCTGTCTTTTTAGATTTTTAGATTGTAAATTCTTTGAAAGGTGATGTGATCTTCTATTTTACATAATATTTTAAAATCTTTTTACATTACCAAAATGGGATCCATAGTGAATATAACCAGAGAGAGTTAAAAATAATATTAAAAATCCTTGGTGATTTTCTTCTACTTTTATGAGTTATCCATTTAGAAAAATAATATACTATCATTAATAATATAATATATAATATCATTAATAATATAATGTCCTTCACTCTAAATGTCAGTAAAACCCATAAGTATTAAACCAAATGACACTTGTATTCAGAATTTATGTGACCACACTGTTATCTACTCATAGGGCATGGGTTAGGTTGGAATGCTGTTTTCCATTCATGTTTTTGTTGTACAATTATGTTTTTTTTTTCTTTTTTTAATTGTGCTAGAGGGCCTGTGCACTTTCCTGAGAGAGACAGAAAGAGAGAGGGAAAGTAAGAAGACATACCCTGTGGGTGATGGTCACGCTTATTCCATCTCTCCTATTTCTCCTTCCTTTTGGGATCTTGGCCATGCATACACACAAGCTCAGCATGTTTTTCAAGCTGCCAGGTCCAGGACTTGAAATGTAGAGTTGGCCATGTGGGAGCCAGTGCTCAACCACCATGCCACTGGCCAACTCAATGTATCATTTTCTGCTTATATTATTTTAAAATAAAGAGTAAGGGATATAAAATTAGTTTAATCATTTATTGAACTAATATATGACATGCCAAATTTTTTATATTTTCTTTAATTTTATTTAATCACTTTTGAAAAACTGAGGATTTCTTGTAATGGCAATGTAAGATTTAGCACCTTAAAACATTGTCCAGTGGTTATTTCTCATTTTCTGCACGGGGCATCCACTATATTAAATGTTTCCACCTACACTCAAATTTAGGGTGCTATGCACAGATGTGAATGGGAAGGGGTCAGAAGCATTGGGAGCCATCTTGAGTTCTGCTTGTCGTGAAATGTATCTGGCATTTTGGCCAGAAAAATTAGTCTATACATAAAGAGTGTTGAGTAAGTAGAGAGGCTACATTTAGGACATAGCCCTGAAGAACATCAGCTTTCATAAGATAGAAAAAGAAAATTAATAGTATTATCTGAAATAGTAAAAAAACAAGAGTTTCACAGTGGTGGACTAAGAAAGAGAGTAATCTGTGGGCAAAGAGTATACCCATGACAATCTGTAGAGCAAGTGTTTTCCTAAGAGAGAGCAAGTACTGACCTAAGAAATGCCACCTGAGACCTTGCATCAAAGCAAAGCACTATTGGGAACCAGCAGTTAGCGTAATGGCTATGTCGCTGGACTCCCACGTAGTCGACCGCAGTTTGTGTCCCGGACCCGGTGGCTTAAAACTCACGCCGGGCGCGTGTGCGTGCATGCCAAGATCCTGAGAGGAGAATGGAGGAGAAGGGATTGCGGTGTGACCATCCCCCCTGGGGGGTGATTTCTCGCTTTCTGTCTCTATGTCTCTCTCTGTCTGTCTGGCGAGCGCACGTGCCCTACAGTGAAAATCTCTCAAAAAAAAAAAAAAAAAAAAAAAAAAAAAAAGAAAGCACTGTTAGGCAGAAGCCAGATTGAAGAAATAAAGTAGAAATAAAATGTGTGGTCAGCTAAGGTGATTTTTTATGATAATTAACATTGAAGTTTGAAATAATTGTTTTAATTATCTTTTTCTTCTTTGGGAGAATGGAACAAATCACAAAACTGCTATCTTTTTCTAATTTATACTTAAATATGTAACAAGTATATACCTTGTGAAAGTTACAAAGACAATTGCACAACACTTCGATGTGGCAACTAGAAGGTAGCAGTTAATGCAAGAAACAAAGCATTCAAAGATATTAAAGGATAATGATTAAACCATCTGCGCAGAAGCAAAGGGTGCATACACTCACACACACACATTTTCAGCACATGTCATTTAGACATTCTGTATAAAAACTATAAAAACCTAAGCCATGAAGTCACTACTCTATGAGTTGGTTTATATCTGTATTCCAAATCATTTTGGATGATGCAATGTATAGCTTTAGATTGGAACTTAAAGTAAGAAAAATTATGTTTTGCTCAAAAGCTTGTTTTTCTCTCTTGTGTTTAGCTACTTAAAGAGCTTAAAGATGAAGATTGGAATATGGGCAATATTGTACACACCCTCACAAACAGACGCTACCTTGAAAAATGTATTGCTTATGCTGAAAGCCATGACCAGGTAAATTAACATGTAGCATAATAAGTTCATTTCTCTCTCTTCTGCTCTCTTAATAACTCTCATTCTTTATACTTAATAAATTAATAGCATATGGAAAGACAAATATATCTACATAAAACTTCTTTAAATTGAAATAGTTCACATAATATATGTATACTTATATCTTTTTGTGAAAACTACTCATAGTTGAAAATCATTTTAAATGATTTTGTACATATAAAATTTCACCCTCAAAATGCAGTACTAAAAATTTTTTTTCAATGCTGTATTATGTCTGTTCTACCAAATTTTAAATAATAGAAGGTATATTATAGCTGTGAAGTCAGATGTTTTCCTTAGTCATAATGAAGGGTATTGGTCTTGATCCAGTGTGATTTTAGTTTTCATTTTAGGTTTATTTCTAGAGGGTTTGTTTGTTTGCTTGTTTGTTTTTTTTGTTTTTCTGCTTTTGACAAGCATTTATTAGTTGTTTTTTTGATTTGTTTTAGTTTTATTCTTCAATTACTAGAATGTTCTGATTGATCAGGCTGACTCTGGTCCCTCCTAGCTTCAATCTGTTCTTTTTAATACTGCCAGAGGTATTGTCCCAAGAACAGAGTTCATCTCATTAACTCAAATTTATAGGTCAAAGCTTGTCATTCAAGGTTACTGATATCCAGGACCAACCAAAGTTTCAACTTTATTCCCTGCCCAGCTATTTTTCCCTGCTTTAAAATTCCTGCCTGTTTCAAACAAATCAAACTTTCAAACCATGCACATTTGCTTCTGAACTGCCTACTTTACCTGAGAAGCTCCTGCTCAGGCCTACTCTTCTGGCTTAGATGTTACCGTGCTTTAGGGAAAAAACTGATTTCCATAATGTGTGTATTTCCAGCCTTTTGCACTGTGACTGCTCCTATTTAATCACTATGTGTGTTTGTGTGTGTATGTGTGTGTGTGTGTGTCTGTGTTTGTGTGTGTCAGGGGGTGGTTGTCTGGAAAGTCATGATGCATTTTTGCATAGAAAAGCAGAAAAACACGGCATTGCGTTCCTGATAACCTACATATATAGACAAGGCCATTTAGTATTGTTTGTGTGTGTGTGTTTGTGAAAAGCCCTTTAGTATTTAAAGCCATATTAATCCTTATAAACATTAACAATATGTAAATAAACCAAGAATTACCTAACCAGGGCCCATGGACCAAATCATATCTGCTGTCTGTTTTTGTAAATAAAATTAATCAGAACACAGCCATTCTCATGCATTTATGTGTTGTCTTTTATTCTTTAAAAGCAAATTTGAATAGTTGAGACAGAGAAAATATCCCACAATGCCTAAAATGTTTACTGATTGAGCTTACACAGAGATTAGTTCATCCCTAAAGTAGACATGTGCTTGATTTTGTATCTTCCAGTTTAAGTAGTGCTTACTTATTTAGTGCTTACTTATTTAACAGATAAAATGAATACCTATGGAAAAACAGGAAGCTAAGCTAGAAAAGAATAATATTAGTATAAAAGATTGGGAGCAGGGGTGGGAGGGAAAACTTCTAACCAAATACTAGGTCATTGGAAAAGTCATGATGCATTTTTGCTAGAAAAGCATAGAAAAAATATGTATAACTATTCCAATTATCCAATACATAACACTGTGAAGATTAAAATATTTGATACATGCATAAATAATATCTTTCTATTGCAAATTTTGAAGTTTTTGACATTGAGAATTCTCAACATATATTTATTTTGTATGAGTGAATAAAAAATAAAGTGGTAGAATAACCAAATGGAAGATGAAACTAATAGATAAACTTTAATAACTTTCTACCCAGTCTGTAAAGAAACATGTTTACTAAGAATTATTTCGTACTTTAAAGATTCAGGTAATTGTGCCATGTGTTACATATTGTAAGTAATGAAGAAAATTAGGCAAGTTGCCTAGTTCTTTCTAAAAGCAAATGTACGCTGGCCTTTAAACCTGATATAAAAATACAAGTAAATATAAAAAGTATGAAATATTAAAAATATAAAATATATAAATATAAAATGCATATGAACAATAGACAGAAATATGTTCATCACAATAAAAGTATATTTGGAAGTTATTTTGAAATAGACAATTTTTAACTTTTGCGATGAAATTTGTTAAGAGTAACTAAATTTTACCAATATCTCAGCAAGTTTTATTTAATTTTTTTTTCTGTGTGCAAAAGAGACTGAGAAAGAAAGTGAAAAAGGTAGAGAGAGGGGCTGCCAGTATGATCTTAATACTGTGAGCTACCTAAAGGTTTGTCCAGCCCTAACTCATGTGCACACACTTGCCCACGTCTCGGAGGTTTCCGGACACAAACATGGAGCTTTCTCATGTGAGTCAGCTTCACAGAACATTGCGTAATCACTGCTCTACTATCTGTCCCCTCAGCAGAATTTTATTTAGAGGACAACTTTATATGATTTTAAAATTCATCTGTGAACCTAAGTAAAGGTTACAAAATAATTTTACAGTAGAATCAGACATTATAGAAAGTTACACATAAAAACAATGACACAATTCCAATAAGTCAAAAAGACAAACTGTATTAGAATTAGTGTTGTAGATATTCTTGTAACTATTTCTAATGCATTTTAATTAAAATAGGTTAGAGAGATGGTAGGTTTGTAAGTAAAAACCTTTTTTTGTTTGGTCTTGTTTTTAATGAAGATACTGATAACAGAATACTTAGATTCCAGGTTAATTTCTGTTATACCTTATTTTAGTATATTTTATTTGTCATTGTTGAACACTGCATTCATTAGTTTTTCCTAAACATTAACAACTCAGATTGCTAGGAGACTTCTCTCCTGGTACTCAGGACACTGCTGAGTTATCTGCTCCAATTATCAATTACTTTTCACATAAACCAAACTTAATTTAGGTTAAATGGCAAATACAATGGGAAAACAAATTTGTATGTTAAAAATACATCTCCTTTGCTGAGGTGGAGGAGGGACCATTTGTGTGTGTGTGTGTACACACACACACTATTACAATATATTTATATGTATTATATATATATACACACACAGACTTATAAGTTATTTTCTAGAAACTCTTCCATTCTTTCAAAACATTTTATAAAATGATTTCACACACACACACACTCACACACACACACACACACACACACATATATATATATGTATTTATGTAATTTTTTTGCCATAGGGCACATGTACTTGCCTGGGGAAGAGATGAAAGAAAGTGAGAAACCCCATGCAGATGACCATGTTATAACCCTTTCTCTTCCATTCCCCTCTTGGAATTTTGGGTACAGATGCACATGCACCCAGTGTGTTTTTCAAGTTGTTGAGTATGGGGACTTGAACCATAGTCAACCATGTGAGATCTAGCTGCCTTAAATACCATGCCACCTGCCAGCCTCACTATTCAAATTATTTTAAAAATCTAATATTGTTATTATGACAATAAATGTTTGTTTCAGGAAATTTAAAGCATTAGCTCAGGTATAAGAAATATTCAAGTACTTTGTCATGTGTTCTTCATCAAACTTTTCAAAATAAAAATTGAGACTAGGAACAAATGTGCTTATCTCTAAGGTATTTTACCCGTTTATCTTCGGCATAGAAAGTGGTCTTTGGAAAATACATGAAATGAATACTAATCTACACGCTTCTACATTGTAGGCCTTCCCGATTTTCTCCATGTGGTGTTCTGGTGTAAATCACAACACTTCATACCTGTTTTCACTTATCTCAGTGAACTTTATTTCTACAGGCACTGGTTGGTGATAAGACGTTGGCATTTTGGTTGATGGATGCTGAAATGTATACAAACATGAGTGTTCTGAGTCCTTTCACGCCAGTTATTGATCGTGGAATACAGCTTCATAAAATGATTCGACTCATTACTCATGGGCTTGGAGGAGAAGGCTATCTCAATTTCATGGGTAAGTGTGAGTTCAAAATACATAAAAAAAAAAAAAAAAAAAAAACAAAAACAAAAAAAAAAAACAAAGCACTGTTAGGCAGAAGCCAGCTTGAAGAAATAAAGTAGAAATAAAATGTGTGGTCAGCTAAGGTGATTTTTTATGATAATTAACATTGAAGTTTGAAATAATTGTTTTAATTATCTTTTTCTTCTTTGGGAGAATGGAACAAATCACAAAACTGCTATCTTTTTCTAATTTATACTTAAATATGTAACAAGTATATACCTTGTGAAAGTTACAAAGACAATTGCACAACACTTCGATGTGGCAACTAGAAGGTAGCAGTTAATGCAAGAAACAAAGCATTCAAAGATATTAAAGGATAATGATTAAACCATCTGCGCAGAAGCAAAGGGTGCATACACTCACACACACACATTTTCAGCACATGTCATTTAGACATTCTGTATAAAAACTATAAAAACCTAAGCCATGAAGTCACTACTCTATGAGTTGGTTTATATCTGTATTCCAAATCATTTTGGATGATGCAATGTATAGCTTTAGATTGGAACTTAAAGTAAGAAAAATTATGTTTTGCTCAAAAGCTTGTTTTTCTCTCTTGTGTTTAGCTACTTAAAGAGCTTAAAGATGAAGATTGGAATATGGGCAATATTGTACACACCCTCACAAACAGACGCTACCTTGAAAAATGTATTGCTTATGCTGAAAGCCATGACCAGGTAAATTAACATGTAGCATAATAAGTTCATTTCTCTCTCTTCTGCTCTCTTAATAACTCTCATTCTTTATACTTAATAAATTAATAGCATATGGAAAGACAAATATATCTACATAAAACTTCTTTAAATTGAAATAGTTCACATAATATATGTATACTTATATCTTTTTGTGAAAACTACTCATAGTTGAAAATCATTTTAAATGATTTTGTACATATAAAATTTCACCCTCAAAATGCAGTACTAAAAATTTTTTTTCAATGCTGTATTATGTCTGTTCTACCAAATTTTAAATAATAGAAGGTATATTATAGCTGTGAAGTCAGATGTTTTCCTTAGTCATAATGAAGGGTATTGGTCTTGATCCAGTGTGATTTTAGTTTTCATTTTAGGTTTATTTCTAGAGGGTTTGTTTGTTTGCTTGTTTGTTTTTTTTGTTTTTCTGCTTTTGACAAGCATTTATTAGTTGTTTTTTTGATTTGTTTTAGTTTTATTCTTCAATTACTAGAATGTTCTGATTGATCAGGCTGACTCTGGTCCCTCCTAGCTTCAATCTGTTCTTTTTAATACTGCCAGAGGTATTGTCCCAAGAACAGAGTTCATCTCATTAACTCAAATTTATAGGTCAAAGCTTGTCATTCAAGGTTACTGATATCCAGGACCAACCAAAGTTTCAACTTTATTCCCTGCCCAGCTATTTTTCCCTGCTTTAAAATTCCTGCCTGTTTCAAACAAATCAAACTTTCAAACCATGCACATTTGCTTCTGAACTGCCTACTTTACCTGAGAAGCTCCTGCTCAGGCCTACTCTTCTGGCTTAGATGTTACCGTGCTTTAGGGAAAAAACTGATTTCCATAATGTGTGTATTTCCAGCCTTTTGCACTGTGACTGCTCCTATTTAATCACTATGTGTGTTTGTGTGTGTATGTGTGTGTGTGTGTGTCTGTGTTTGTGTGTGTCAGGGGGTGGTTGTCTGGAAAGTCATGATGCATTTTTGCATAGAAAAGCAGAAAAACACGGCATTGCGTTCCTGATAACCTACATATATAGACAAGGCCATTTAGTATTGTTTGTGTGTGTGTGTTTGTGAAAAGCCCTTTAGTATTTAAAGCCATATTAATCCTTATAAACATTAACAATATGTAAATAAACCAAGAATTACCTAACCAGGGCCCATGGACCAAATCATATCTGCTGTCTGTTTTTGTAAATAAAATTAATCAGAACACAGCCATTCTCATGCATTTATGTGTTGTCTTTTATTCTTTAAAAGCAAATTTGAATAGTTGAGACAGAGAAAATATCCCACAATGCCTAAAATGTTTACTGATTGAGCTTACACAGAGATTAGTTCATCCCTAAAGTAGACATGTGCTTGATTTTGTATCTTCCAGTTTAAGTAGTGCTTACTTATTTAGTGCTTACTTATTTAACAGATAAAATGAATACCTATGGAAAAACAGGAAGCTAAGCTAGAAAAGAATAATATTAGTATAAAAGATTGGGAGCAGGGGTGGGAGGGAAAACTTCTAACCAAATACTAGGTCATTGGAAAAGTCATGATGCATTTTTGCTAGAAAAGCATAGAAAAAATATGTATAACTATTCCAATTATCCAATACATAACACTGTGAAGATTAAAATATTTGATACATGCATAAATAATATCTTTCTATTGCAAATTTTGAAGTTTTTGACATTGAGAATTCTCAACATATATTTATTTTGTATGAGTGAATAAAAAATAAAGTGGTAGAATAACCAAATGGAAGATGAAACTAATAGATAAACTTTAATAACTTTCTACCCAGTCTGTAAAGAAACATGTTTACTAAGAATTATTTCGTACTTTAAAGATTCAGGTAATTGTGCCATGTGTTACATATTGTAAGTAATGAAGAAAATTAGGCAAGTTGCCTAGTTCTTTCTAAAAGCAAATGTACGCTGGCCTTTAAACCTGATATAAAAATACAAGTAAATATAAAAAGTATGAAATATTAAAAATATAAAATATATAAATATAAAATGCATATGAACAATAGACAGAAATATGTTCATCACAATAAAAGTATATTTGGAAGTTATTTTGAAATAGACAATTTTTAACTTTTGCGATGAAATTTGTTAAGAGTAACTAAATTTTACCAATATCTCAGCAAGTTTTATTTAATTTTTTTTTCTGTGTGCAAAAGAGACTGAGAAAGAAAGTGAAAAAGGTAGAGAGAGGGGCTGCCAGTATGATCTTAATACTGTGAGCTACCTAAAGGTTTGTCCAGCCCTAACTCATGTGCACACACTTGCCCACGTCTCGGAGGTTTCCGGACACAAACATGGAGCTTTCTCATGTGAGTCAGCTTCACAGAACATTGCGTAATCACTGCTCTACTATCTGTCCCCTCAGCAGAATTTTATTTAGAGGACAACTTTATATGATTTTAAAATTCATCTGTGAACCTAAGTAAAGGTTACAAAATAATTTTACAGTAGAATCAGACATTATAGAAAGTTACACATAAAAACAATGACACAATTCCAATAAGTCAAAAAGACAAACTGTATTAGAATTAGTGTTGTAGATATTCTTGTAACTATTTCTAATGCATTTTAATTAAAATAGGTTAGAGAGATGGTAGGTTTGTAAGTAAAAACCTTTTTTTGTTTGGTCTTGTTTTTAATGAAGATACTGATAACAGAATACTTAGATTCCAGGTTAATTTCTGTTATACCTTATTTTAGTATATTTTATTTGTCATTGTTGAACACTGCATTCATTAGTTTTTCCTAAACATTAACAACTCAGATTGCTAGGAGACTTCTCTCCTGGTACTCAGGACACTGCTGAGTTATCTGCTCCAATTATCAATTACTTTTCACATAAACCAAACTTAATTTAGGTTAAATGGCAAATACAATGGGAAAACAAATTTGTATGTTAAAAATACATCTCCTTTGCTGAGGTGGAGGAGGGACCATTTGTGTGTGTGTGTGTACACACACACACTATTACAATATATTTATATGTATTATATATATATACACACACAGACTTATAAGTTATTTTCTAGAAACTCTTCCATTCTTTCAAAACATTTTATAAAATGATTTCACACACACACACACTCACACACACACACACACACACACACATATATATATATGTATTTATGTAATTTTTTTGCCATAGGGCACATGTACTTGCCTGGGGAAGAGATGAAAGAAAGTGAGAAACCCCATGCAGATGACCATGTTATAACCCTTTCTCTTCCATTCCCCTCTTGGAATTTTGGGTACAGATGCACATGCACCCAGTGTGTTTTTCATGTTGTTGAGTATGGGGACTTGAACCATAGTCAACCATGTGAGATCTAGCTGCCTTAAATACCATGCCACCTGCCAGCCTCACTATTCAAATTATTTTAAAAATCTAATATTGTTATTATGACAATAAATGTTTGTTTCAGGAAATTTAAAGCATTAGCTCAGGTATAAGAAATATTCAAGTACTTTGTCATGTGTTCTTCATCAAACTTTTCAAAATAAAAATTGAGACTAGGAACAAATGTGCTTATCTCTAAGGTATTTTACCCGTTTATCTTCGGCATAGAAAGTGGTCTTTGGAAAATACATGAAATGAATACTAATCTACACGCTTCTACATTGTAGGCCTTCCCGATTTTCTCCATGTGGTGTTCTGGTGTAAATCACAACACTTCATACCTGTTTTCACTTATCTCAGTGAACTTTATTTCTACAGGCACTGGTTGGTGATAAGACGTTGGCATTTTGGTTGATGGATGCTGAAATGTATACAAACATGAGTGTTCTGAGTCCTTTCACGCCAGTTATTGATCGTGGAATACAGCTTCATAAAATGATTCGACTCATTACTCATGGGCTTGGAGGAGAAGGCTATCTCAATTTCATGGGTAAGTGTGAGTTCAAAATACATATCCAATCTGATTTTCAAATGTTAAGTAATATTATATATGACATAAGTCATGTAGAACATTTTAATTTGACTTTTCAGATTTAAAATATAAAACTATTTGGTCATTGGAAAAGTTATGACAATTTTTGCATAGAAAACTGCGTCATGGCTTTTCTGACAACCAATAGAATTTTATTTCTTTATTATTATGCAGAAACAGCAAAGATAAAATTAATCTGCAGTAAGATTATTGTTACATTAATATGTAATGGAAAAGCACATTCTAAAAGCTGATATACTACTGGATATTGTTAATGAAGGGACTGAACTGTTACTAAAACCAATA